CCTGTTATTGCGTCGATGTACGCGTATTTCTCTTTGCTCAAACAAAACCAAACAAAGCGAAACGAACAAACAAACAAACAAACAAACAAACAAACCAGTCTCAAATATGAGGGCACCCCTAATAGGTCTCACTCCTGATCTCTCCATGTATTCCGCATATTTTTTTCTGGATCCTGTCTGTCTGTTTCTCTCTTTCCTCCGGCACTAGATGAGGCTATTTGTATCAATGTGCTTCTCTTCCCTAAAACATAAACTGGTGGGTGGTTGGCGGGTGCTCTGGTGCGGTTTGCTTCTTCTTTCCTATCAAACATCTATCGTCCTTATCTCCCCTTCTTCTTTTTTTATGTTTGTTACTCTCTTGTAACACTTCTATTCTTCTGGCGCTCATATGACCTTATGCAGTTGCGAGCGCCGTAAAACCTCTACTAAAACAAACAAAAAAACATAAACTGAAGCTGGTGGAAGGGAAATTGATTACCAAGCAAATTTCGAGTCCTCGATCAGGAGTCGGAAATGGTCAAAAGTTAATCAAATTTACATGTAAACCTTTGGTATGTCGAGGGTCGAGCTGATAGTGAAGGGGATTAAAAGAGATTACTGTAAACCTTTCATAATGTGTTCAGGGTCGTAGTGATAGTGAATGAGACTACTTACTGTAAACCTTTTAGTATGTTCAGGAACGCGGTGATAGTTAAGCGGGTTACGTACTGTAATTTATTATTATTATTATCATCATCATCATCATCATCATCATCATCACCATCATCATTACCATGATCTTGTGTTTTTACGGTCCTGTACAGCCAATAAAAATTTCACTCTGGTATAATATAATATAATATTATTTTATCTTGTCGTGTTATCATTATCATTATACTTATTGTTGTTGTGATTTCCCAACTGTGGGTGGTTGGCGGGTGCTCTGGTGTGGTCTGCTCGTTCTTTCCTATCAAACATCTATCATCCTTATCTCCCCTCCTTTTTTGTGTTTTGTAACTCTCTCTTCTAACACTTCTAATCTTCGGCACTTATGTGACTTTATTGTGTTGCAAGTGCCGTAAAACTCTTACTAAAACTAAAAACTATTCCCAAATCATGTGTTTTTACCGTCCTGTACAGCCAGGAAAACAATTTTCCTCTAGGATAGTACAGTATTATCTTATATTTTTTCTTGTCTTATTATCATTACCATTATTATTATTATTATTGTTGTTATTCCCCATTGTTGTTCAGGAGTGGGTGTGGCGACGGTTGTGATTTCGTTCCTATTCACCACGTATTATATCATCGTCATTATCATTACCATTATCATTATCATTATTCTTGTTGTTGTTATTTTCCAATTGTCCAGGAGCGGGTGTGGCGACGGTTGTGATCTCGTTCCTATTCACCACGTACTACATCATCATCATCACGTGGTCCTTCTACTACATGTTCTCCTGTTTCACCGACGAGCTGCCGTGGACACATTGTAACCACACCTGGAACTCTCCCCTCTGCTGGCTCAACACCTCCACCGAGAACTTCACGGCTGTACAGCCCAACGGATCACGGTCACCCACCGAAGACTTCTTCATGTGAGTACATGATGAGTGCAGGGAGAGAGATAGACTTCTTCATGTGAGTACATGATGAGTGCAGGGAGAGAGATAGACTTTTTCATGTGAGTACATGATGAGTGCAGGGAGAGAGATAGACTTCTTCATGTGAGTACATGATGAGTGCAGGGAGAGAGATAGAC